GGGGGGTGATTTCTCGCTTTCTATCTCTCTGTCTCTGTCTTTTTGGTGAATGCACGTGCCCTATAGCAAAAACCTCTTCCCCTCAAAAAAAGAATTATTTATTTAATTTTATTTATTATTAGTCTTCATTTTGACCAGAGAGAGAGTGAGAAAGCAAGTTGCCAGGTCCAGGACGCAAACTGTGGCTGGTCATGAGGGAGTCTAGTCTTCACCCACCAAGATACCCGCTGGTCCCTCCAGCTAGACTTTTATAACACTTTTTATTTGAATTTCTTTCTTTCTTTCTTTCTTTCTTTCTTTCTTTCTTTCTTTCTTTCTTTCTTTCTTTCTTTCTTTCTTTCTTTTTTTTTTGGAGAGGTTTTTGCTATAGGGCGTGTGCGCTCGCCAGACAGACAGAGACATAGAGACAGAAAGCGAGAAATCACCCCCCAGGGGGGATGGCCACGCCACAATCCCTTCTCCTCCATTCTCCTCTTGGGATCTTGGGCACGCACACACAAGCGCCCGGTGTGAGTTTTAAGCTACCGGGTCTGGGACTCGAACTGCGGTCGACTATGGGGTAATCCAGCGACATAGCCATTACACTAACTGCTGGTCCCTTGAATTTCTTTCTTTTTAAAAATTTTTTTTCTATAGGACACATGTACTTGCTAGAGAGAAAGAGAAAGTGAGAAAGCACTTCTCGGGGGGATGGTCAAGCTGCAATCCCTTCTTCTCCATTCTCCTCTAGGGCTTTTGGGCAGGTATGCACACACCCAGCACTCGGTCTGGACTCAGCCGCCTGGACTGAGCCGTGGCTGACCATGTGGGAGTCTGGTGCCTTAACCACTAAGCCACCTGCTGATGTAGTTGTTTACTTCTATTCTTCTCTAAAATATGCCCTGTTACCCTGTTTTCATTGTTTCTTTTCAAATGCAGTTTGTATGGCTCAGCCACTGTGGCACAAGAGCCCTAGAAGGCTGTAATGCACATCGTTGACTGTGGGTTCAGATCTCTAGCTGGGCTTGAAAACATGCCAGGTCCAGCTTTTTTGCTGTCCAACATCTTAGCGAGGCTGTGGTGGCCGCTGCTGCTCTCCTGGCTTCGCGATGCCGCCCAAGGACGACAAGAAGAAGAAAGACGCCGGAAAGCCGGCCAAGAAAGACAAAGACCCAGTGAACAAATCTGGGGGCAAGGCCAAAAAGAAGTGTCCAAAGGCAAAGTTCGGGACAAGCTCAATAACCTGGTCTTGTCTGACAAAGCTACAGATGACAAACTCTGCAAGGAAGTTCCCGACTATAAGCTCATAACCCCGGCTGTGGTTTCTGAGAGGCTGAAGATCCGTGGTTCCCTGGCCAGGGCAGCACTTCAGGAGCTTCTTAGTAAAGGACTTATCAAACTTGTTTCAAAGCACAGAGCCCAACTAATTTACACCAGAAATACCAACGGTGGAGATGCCCCAGCTGCTGGTAAAGATGCATAAACAGGCACAACCAACTGTACATTTGGAAAAATAAAAATTTATTAACCAGAAAAAAAGAAAACATGCCACGTCTACACAGGATCTTGAGGAACTAAAGGGCCGGGGAAAAGGGATCACTGTGTGACAAAATCCTGTCATAGGTGCTTCTCTTTCTCTCTGTCTCTCTCACCTACACACACATGCTATCATATATGTATATATAATTATATTCACACACACACACACACACACACACACACACACACTCTTTGCAGTGTCTGTTAGTTTCTGTTCACTGTCAAAAGAACCCAAACTGGAAAACTTCTACAACTGACAGATTTGAACTATGACAGATAGGCACTGAATGTCTCCTTCATGCCAAGCATTTCAGGGATACAAACATGTATAACAAGCAATCCAGTGTGGAAGACTATACACATATGGGGGAGGAAAAGGAAACATTTCAAATTAATGCATATAACAGGACCAGAAGAACCACATCTCCTCTTTTTTATTTTTATTTTTTTGGAGAGGTTTTTTTTTATTTTATTTTATTTTTTTTATGTTTTTGCTATAGGGTACATGTGTGCCCCAGAAACACAGAAAGTGAGCAATCACCCCCCCCCCCAGGGGGGATGGCCACACCACAATCCCTTTTCCGCCATTCTCCTCTTGGGATCTTGGGCATGCATGCACATGTGCCCAATGTGAGATTAAGTCACCGGGTCTGGGACTTGAACCATGTTCACCTACATGGGAGTCCAGTGTTGTAGCTATTATGCCATCTGCTGGTCCCCCACCACATCTCCTCTTAAATCCCATCCTAGTTTTTTGCCTTTTTGTCTCTCTCTGGCAACCAACCGTATGCACCCTATGGCAAAAAAACCCAGAAAACAAAACAAACAAAAACCACAAAACCCTAAAAAACAAACAAACAAAAACGAATAAACAAAAAAATACTAGGAAAGAAAGTCTCCAAGAATGCATAGAATGAGATCTAATAGTTTTAAAGCTGAGAGATCTTAAGATAACAAATTTCTAAAAAAGGAAATTAATCTATTCATAAGCATACCTGACAAGAGAACCTAAATGCACATATGCATGCATTTCTGTGTATGTCGGGCAATACTGGAAAATAATCTTTGCTGTGGTTTATATCTGAAATAAGCATGGGCAACAAATTCATAAATACCACAACACATTTCTGTAGGTGTGGTAGAAATCAGTTGCTTGGGTAGATGTGCAGGGATTTACTGAGCATTGCCACTAAAAGAATTCAGCTCTCCCCAGAAGAGACACCATACTAATTGAAAGGGTTTACTTCTTTGAATTAAAGAGACGGTTGAGCAGACATTGGGTGAAGTGAAAGAAGCCAGTCACAAAGGCTTACAAACGTATGACTCCATTTATCGGAAATGTCTAGGGGAAGCAAGTCCATAGAAATCGAAAGTAGATGACCGGTTGCCTGGGGGCTAGGAGAATGGGGAGTGAATGCTAATAGATATGGGATTTCTTTTTGGGGTTGATGAAAATGTTCTGAATAGACAGACTGCACGCTTTGTATGGTAAAATAACTGAATTACACACGTTAAAGGGATGAAATTTATGGTATGTGAATTATATTTCAAATAAAGCAGTAACCAAAAAAGAAACAAAAAAAATTACCCCCCTCCCTAAACAAAAAACGGCGTCCGAACACTTGTAACCAGAGAAAGAGTTCTGGCAGGCTGGGCTCCTGAGAGAAGCAGCTCCAGGGGACACAAAGTCCCCTGCAGCCCAGGCTACCTGTCACATCGGGGATTCCAACTCCCCGTGGCCCTCCCGGGTACAATGCCCCTTTGCGGACTCAGTTTCCTCGCGAGTTCCGGCGTGGTTGTGGACGAACCCCGAGGCCCGCTATGGCTCTGACCCTATGTAGTCTCAGCCCCGGACCCCCAATCCACAACTCCTGGAGTGCGTCAGAGCTCGCATAAGCCATGTTACCTGTAGGGACCAATGGCCCCTGGGGCTTTTGCGGTGCTGATCACTTTTCTGATGAGGGACGACATGGCTAATTCTCTCTTGCTGCCCGCTCCGGGAGAAGTTGTCTTAACCCAGCTCTTCTGCTCGCTTCCCAGCGGACTGACCAACTCCGGGCAGCGTCTCCACCCCCAAGTGTTCGCTGACGGCTGGTTCGCTCTGTATTCTGGGAGTTGTAGTCTTGGCGCGACTCCAGGCCACGTGGAGGAAGCGGCAGGACTACGCATGCGCTCTCCAGTCTGCGGGCGGCGCACGTCGCCGCCACGGGGATTGTCGTCGCGGCTTGTCATTCTGACCCGGGGAGCCCTCCGAGTGTTTGCTGGTAAGTAGCGGAAGGCTGGTGACTGCCAGGGTCTGCGGATTGAAGGGACTGTGTCGCGGTCCCCCGTCCGGGCCCATCTCCGCTGCGAATCTCCTTTTCCGACTCCGCGACCTTTTCTTTCCTTGCTGCCTGCTATCCCGGGCCCCTGTTCTCAGTTCCGACTCTTCTGTCTCATGCGTTCGATCCCCAGTCCCCCACAACCTGTCTTTGCCCTGCCGGGCTGAGGCTGTTCTGGGAACTGCTCGCACCGCTTCTGCTACTCTAGAGGAATAAGATGGGTCACTCTAGGGATCGCGCTTGAGATCTGGACGATGTCCCCTCCCGGTCCTCTCATGTTTACTTCTCTTGAGTTCTCCTCTGGTTTTGCAAGGTGTCCTTCCATCTGAACAGAGATCTGGAGACTGAGATCGGATTTCAAATAGAACGATAGAGATCTTGGTCTAACTCATGGCCCCAGAGCTGATGTGGGGCAGGTTATGCTGCGTCGGAGGGATGGATGGTACATTGTTAAACATTTCTCATCCTGTTAATACATGCATTATTGGCATGTTCACGTCTTCATTTATGCGTGCATGCATACTTTCAACAGTACTGTATAGTGAGCCCCTACTTTTGCAAGGAACTGTGCTAAGTGCTAGAAATGAATCAGTGTAAAAAGGTAAGATCTCTGTCCTCCGAGGCTTTCGAAAAGTAATATAAGAAAATTCTTAGCCGATCGTATTATGGTTATGTTGCTGGACTCCCACATAGTGAACTAGGGTTCTAGTGCGAACTAGGCGGCTTAAAGCTCAGGCTGCGCGAGTGTGTGAGTGCACAAAATCTCAGGAGGAGACTGGAGGAGAAGGGATTGTGGCATGGCCATCCTCCCTGTGGGGGGTGATTTCTGGCTTTCTGTCTCGCCCACACATTCTATAGCAAAAATCTCTCTTAAAAAAAAGAAAATTCTCTTCCCCCACCCTCTCCTCCTTTTATCCTTCGTCCTGCTAAGGGTCAGCTTTCCTACTTCAGCCCAAGACCCTTCAGGCCTTTTTCCTAGGTTGGAGTAAAGCTTTAGCTTGGAATGAAAGACCTACTGGTCTGACTTCCCTTGTCTGTTCCCACTTCAGTCGTCCAGAGCTCTCTGGCCTGTCTTCACATAGTAGGTTCCTGGCTATTCTTTCTTCTCTGTTATACAAATTACACCTAACTGAATTTCTCTTTTCCCATTGATTTTTTTTTTCTTGCTGATTCACGTTTTTTTCTTTTCTCTCATCCAGTATTCTACTGTGTTATATTGTGAAATGTAGTATTTTATTATATGTGGCCTTGTTATCTAATTGTTTTGTTTTAAGATCGGTGAATAGAGCCAGACTGCCTGGTCTGAATCCTGGCATGTTCTCAATCTAGTGGTCTTGTGTGGGTTATATAACTTCTCTGTGCTTCAGTTTCTTCATTTATAAAATGAGAAGAATACTAGTATCATATAGAGTTAAGAGAATTAAATGACTAATGTAAAATTTGTAGAATAAGAAGCATGTAAAGTTCTCAACTAATGTTAGTTGTCCACGAGGACTAAATTCTGAAGAAAAGAGACCACATCCTTATACTACTTTGGTATTGTAGCTTGAAACTATTAGGCACATGGTGGATATCTCTTGGGTTGTATGAAAAGTCATGATGTGTTTTTCTATGCAAAAAATGCAGCATGACTTTTCAGATAACCCAACAGAAGCTTGTTAGATTTGGTTAAACTGAATAAATAGTAGACACTTTTTACTTACAACATAATTTACCATAAAGTTCTTTAGATAAGTAGCTTTTTGGTGACTCTCACAAATAATTTAACTTGTATAAAATATTTCTTGTGAAACAAAATACTTTTATGCTTTTGGCAGATTTTATGTCAAGTCTGAACCACTTCATTTTTTATTTTATTTTATTTTATTTTATTTTATTTTATTTTATTTTATTTTTTAATTGCTACAGTGTCTGTGTGCTTGCCAGAGAGAGAGAAAGCACTTCCCAACAGGGCGTGGTGATACTGTGATTCTTCTTTCATTTCTCCATCATGTCAGGATTTGGCGCATGCACACGCGTGCTGGGCACAGGGACCAGAATCGGACTGTGGGCAGCCATGTGAAATCCAGCTCCCTTAACCACTAGCCTAAAGGGCTGTTCTTATTATTTTATTAAGATTACTTTTTTTTTTTTTTGGAGAGGTTTTTGCTACAGGGCACATGCGCTCACCAGAAAGACAGAGAGAGACAGAGAGATAGAAAGTGAGAAATCACCCCCTAGGGGGGATGGCCACGCCACAATCCCTTCTCCTCCAT